GTCTGCAACGCTACAGGAACTCCAGCTGCCACCTGAAACAGCAGCAATGGATCAGCAGCAGCTGTCTGATGATCCTGCTGCAGTAAGAGACGCTATCAAAGAGAGGGGTACGTGATTCTCATGCTGCTGCAGGAGTTGCTGCTGCTGCTGCTGTGTCTGCTGCTGACATTGCTGCGCTGTTGGTACTGGCGGTGCTGTTTGCATTGCTGCTGCCAGGCCAAGGGAAACGAGTGAAGCTGCTGTTGCTGCTGCTGCTGTAGATGCTATTTCTGCTGCTGATTGCTGCTGCTGCTGCTGCTACCACTGATGCTGTACGCCTACTTGCTGGGAGCTGCTGCTGCAGTGTCTCTCTGTGAGGGCCCCTACACCTGCTGCTAATGAATACGGATACTCTCAGCGCATTTGTTCTTGTTGCTGTTGCTGTTGCTGCTGCTGCTGCTGCTGCTGCTGCTGCTCAGTCTCTACGCTCGCATCCGTGAACGCGGTGGAGAAAGAATGCTGGCAGCTGCTGAGGGAAAGCCTCGACAGTACACTGGAACTCGCGGCTCTGAGGCAGCCTTTTGAAAAAGCGGTCAGCAGCAGCAGCAGCAGCAGCAGCAGCAGCAAAAGCACAAGGAGCAGCATCAGCAAAGCACGAGCAGTAGTAACAGCAGCAGCAGAAACAGCAACAGAAACACAGGCAGCAGCAGCAGAAAAGCACGAGCAGCCGCAGCAGCAGAAGCAGCAGCAGTAGCACGAGCAGCAGCAACGTTGTCTGCATGCGTATAGTGAAAGCTCTTATATTGGCAGCGCAGTTCGTAGCTGCAGCTGCAGAAACAAGAACAGCAGCAGCAGCAGCAGCAGCAGCAGTAGCACGTGTAGGCCTTGCAGCAATCTCTCGCCTCGTGCTGCCTGCTGCAGTTGCTGTTGCTGCTGCTGCTGCTGCTGCTGCTGCTGCTGCTGCAGGCACACCGATGGTTTTGGCATCCCGACCCCCTCGCTCCTCGCCGTCTGCAGGCCTGGAGGGAGTACCTTGACTTCGAGGAGAAGAACGTAAACCCCAAACCCTAAACCCTAAACCCTAAACCCCAAACCCTAAACCCTAAACCCTAAACCCTAAACCCTATGCTCTAGAACCTAAACCCTAGACGCTGAACGATGAACTCTTAACCCTAAACCCAAACCCCTAAACCCTCACAAAACCCTAATTCCGAACGTCTAGAGCTTAAGTCAAACCCCTAAACCCTAAACCACAAACCCTTAGCCCTAGGCCTCCACCTGTAAACCCTAAACCCTAAACCCTAACCACGTTTAAGCGGTGGTTTTTAGCAAACCATGCAAAAAAGAGAGACATACACCTCAGCAGCAGCTCTGTTGCAGCTGGGGCCAGCAGCAGCGCCAGGGTTCCTGCTCGTTCCCTGTTACTGCTGCTGCACGTGCTGCATCTTTTACTGCTTCTGCTTCTGCTGCGGCTGCTGCTGCTGCTGCCGTTTCTGTTGCTGCTGCTGTTTGTTTTGTGCTGCTGCTGCCGTTTATACTGTTGTCGCTGTTTCTATCGCTGTTTCTGCTGCTTCTGCTGCCGCTGCTGCTGCAGGCGCCTGAGCGGCTGCCGCTGCTGCAGCGCCGCTGCCTGGAGGTGTGCGCCTCTTACCCTGAGTTTTGGCTGCGCTGTGCGCGCCAGCGGAGACGCAGCAGCGAGGACGAGGCGCTGCAGCTGCTGCACTTTGCTGCAACAAAAGTCTTAAAACGCCGGTGTGTATGAACACCCCAGTACACGCACTACAGCCATCTGCAAGGGTTTAGGGTTTAGGGTTTAGGGTTTAGGGTTTAGGGTTTACATATGTGGAGACGTACAAATGCAAGAGACCCCTCTTCTGCAGGGCTGCTGTGTTGCGAGTGCTGTTGTATAGCTTGCACTGCTACTGCTACTGCTGCTGCTGCTGCTGCTGCTGCTGCTGCTGCTGTTGCTCGTTCTGCCGCCCCCAGCGTTAGGCAGCCACAGCAGCAGCTCCTTCACCTGCTGCTGCTGCTGCTGCGTTTAGTGTTGCAAGAGACGCAGCAGGGGGCCGTGAACTGCAGCGGCAGACAAAAGCAGCAGCCCAAGCTGTATAGACAGCGTGGCTCTGTCTCTGTTTCTCTCTGTCTCTCTCTCTCTCTCTGTCTCTTCTCTCTGTCTTATATCTCTCAGTCTCCTCTTCCTCTGTCTCCTATCTCCTTGTCTGTATACTCTCTCTCTCTCTTCTGTGCTGCAGCAGAGACATGGCCTGCATCTATGCGTCGCAGCTGGAGGCCTGCGGCCGCCTGGAGGAGGCAGCAAAGGAATTCGAGGCGCTTGTTAGGTTCGTAGCAAAACATATCTGCTGCTGCAGCTGCTGCTGCAGCTGCTGCTGCAGCTGCTGCTGCGGCAACATGAACTGCTGCAGNCTGCTGCAGCAGCTGAGATTGCAGCGCTGAGACCTGGGCAATCGCTGCAGGCACTCAGATGCAGTTGCTGCTACAGCTACTTCTGCTGCTGCTGCTGCTGCTGCTGCTGCTGCAATGGCTTGGGGATAGAACTGCAGCATGGGCTTCACCGTTAGCAGCAGCAACAGCAGCAGCAGCAGCAGCAGCAACTGTATTTGCTTGTGTGTTTCAGGCCCCCTATAGACGCTGCCTCTTTGAAGTACTTTGTGGCGTTGCTGCAGTTCTCGCTGCGTCACCCCCCAGACACAGCAGCAGACAGCCTCAGCCACGCGCTGCTGCTGCTAGAAGAAGCAGTAGAAAAATATAAAGATGAAGGCCCCTGTGCTGAGCTGCTGCACATATATAGAGCGAAGCTCGTGGCCTTTCATGGTGGAGACACAAAGAAAGCGCTGTACGCACAACTCTCATCTTGCTGCTGCTGCTGCTGCTGTTGCTGCTGCTGCCGATGCGGATGCTGCTGCGCTTCCTGCACCTGCTGCTGTTGCTTCTGCTGCTTTGGTTCCTGCTGCAACTCGTCGTTTGCTGCTGCTGCTGTGGTTGCTGCTGCTGCTGCTGCTGCTACGGCCGTTGTGGCTGCTGCCAATGCGGTTGCGGTGGTGAGGCACCTACAGCTGCACCAGTAGGAGACACCGCCTCGATGCAGCAACAGGCCGTGCAGCACCAGCAGCAGCAATACGAGCAACAGCAGCAGCAACAGCAGCATGAAAAGCAGCAGCAAGCGGAGCAGCAGCAAGTGCAGGGAAGGGTGTCTTGGTGTGTCTGCTGCAGTTCTATCCTTGCGAGAGCCAGAGAGGCACTACCGAAGAGCCTCCCGCTGCTGCTGCTGCAGCTGCGGCTGCTGCAGCAGCAGCACGCTGGAAACCCCACGAAGATACTGGCCGCATGCAGACCCGTGATGGCGGATGTTCTCTCTAACCCAGATGTCAGAAACCCTAAACCCTAAACCCTAAACCCTAAACCCTAAGATCATTCTTCTAAACCCTAAACCCTAAACGCACTCTCCTAAACCCTACACCGTAAACAATAAACCCTAAACCCTCTCTTCTGCTGCCTTTCTGCTGCAGTCTGATGTCTGGCTGCGGTGGCAGGTGCTGAAGCTGCAGATTCATCTCTATGAGTTTTATGCGGCCCCAACAGAGACGCTCTACGCAGCAAAAGTAAACCCTAAACCCTAAACCCTAAACCCTAAACCCTCGCGAGCGAGAGAAACGACGATAGTAGTGACCGCAAGAGGCCTTAACCAGGCCTCCAAAAGTTGCTGCTGTTGCTGCTGCTGCTACTTTTGCTGCTGCTGGCTGAGTCTCTGCTGCTCCTTCCTTTTTCTGTTTGCTGCTGCTGCTGCTGCACAGGAGGCAGCAACCGCCTTCCTAGAGAAGCACCGACAGGAGGTCGCTACTTTAGCTGCTGCAGCAGACCTGCGGCGGCTGCCACAGAAGCTGCTGCTGCCGTATGGAGACAAGGAGGAGGAGGGAGCCGCAGCAGCAGCAGCAGCACCTGCAGCAAGCTGGTGCAACGAGGACCCACAGGCAAGCGCAGAGGTTAGTATCTCTACTACAGAGAAACTGCTGTCGCGTGTTGCTGCAGCAGCAGCAGCAGCAGCAGCAGCAGTAGCAGATCCCCTTCAGCCGCAACTGATAGAGTGGCCCTTACACCCCACATCAGCAGCAGAAAGCAGCAGCGCAAGCAGCACAGACTGCTGCAGCAGGAGCTGGAGCTGCCGCAGCAGGTGTCCTGGCGGCAGCAACGGCAGAAGTAGCGGCAGCAGCAACCACAGCAACAACGGCAGCAGCAGCAGCAGCAGCAGCACGAATTCGAAGCTGACCCCATCATCGCTGCTTCCAACAAACAGTGACTTGCTGCAGTGTATATACGGCTCAAGTCCTTGCTGCATGCCCGCATTGACAGCAGC